TGGCCGATGTAGGAGGCATGTGGTAGGGGTAAGATAGGGGTAAGTGGTAATATATGAGGGGTGGGGGTAGGGTAGGGTGGGTCGAGGTGGGGTCGAGGTGGTAGGGGTGGCGGTAGGGTAGGGTGGATCGAGGTGGGGTCAAGGTGGTAGGGGGTGGCGGTAGGGTAGGGTGGATCGGGGTGGGGCCGAGGTCGGGGCATGTGGTGGGGGGTGGGGTAAGGTCATTATAGGGAAAAATGGGTACGCGGGGTGGGGGTTGGGTGGGTAGGGTAGGGTAGGGGTAAGGGGTAAGATACGAGGATGGAGGTACCGGAATGAAATCGACATCGGAGCGAGACCGGGGACCCACCACTAGGTGTAAGTATGCAAATTCATTGCAAAGACACTGTAGCATCTGCGTTTTCCAAATTTGGAAAACTAGCAAAAGTCACTTCTCCAAATCATTAAGGAAAAGAGAGACATGTTTCATTTTTTCCGTTTTGGAAAACGATTTTGTAAACGCTTTTTTCTTTTTTCTTTTCTCCAGTTTTCCAGGAATTTCTTTGGTAAACACGTTTCCTGTTTTCTGTTTTCCAGTTTTCCAGTTTTCTGAAAAACTAGAAAATATTTCTGTTAGTAAAGAGGCCCTAAGTGTTGACACTCAAGAATTTCAAAAAAAAAAAAGGGAGAGAGAAATCAGATTTATTCATCAACTCTTTATCATTGAAGACATGTACCATCTATTCACTTGCTGTCCACCCAACTCAACTCGCAACCATTCACGAGCTCTGCTGACACTCCATGAATTGGGATTGATATGATCTCTATGACATCAAGTTTATTGTTTGCATATTCAAAGTGGCGAACAAAGCTCAATAATGATCCATGAATCCAGCCAACTAGGCATACTCAATGAGGATGCGGTTTGTTGTGTTGTGTGGGGCACTACAGTTCCCTTTGCTAAATTGCAAAATAACTTTGTACAAATTGTGACTTCGCACAAAGTATCTGTTCTTTTTTCCTTTTATATTCAAAATCAGTATGTGACACTCAACCAAGTTTTATTTGTCACTGACTCACTGGCCCAACTGCTACAATCAACCAAAGCAAAAGTATAAGAAAACTGCATGAATAACAAGCCCGACCTATGTGCAATCAGTATGTGTGAACAGAGTTGGGATTTGAAGGAGGGCCTCCAAGTTTTAATCACTCATGTTAGCCCATTATTTAAAAAAAACGTGGTGGTAGAGCCTTTTAAAATAAAAATGACCACATATTTATGACTAAAATAATTTTGTTTTTTGAAATGTGACTTCTTTAAGGCTAGTAACTTTAGTCATATACGTAGTATAATAACTTATGTTCCTTTATACACTTAAGTGGCCATTAATAGTCTATCTGTATTAGGAATTCTTATGTATTTTGGCTAAGGGACTAAGGGTGAGCAAAAGTACCGAACAGGCATGGTACTGAACCGGACCGGTATGGTACCGAGCCGAAAATGGGTTTTAAAACGGATCTCAAAATTTTTGTCCCGGTTCCAAACAATGTCATGACGGGTTCTCATAAAATGAAAATTAGTATTGAACCGAACCGGACCGAAGTATGATTTAATTATTTAAATTTGTACTACTTTAGTTTACATGAAATTTATTAATTACTTCATCCCTCCCAAATTGATTTTCAAAGTCAACATTTTTTGGTCAACAACGGTTAAAGTTAAGTCTTCCCTATTGATAATTAATACAATATTTAATAATTAAAATTTACATGTTTCAAAAAATATTTTAATTTACATAGAAAGCACATTCAAATCTCTTTAAAGTTGGAAAATCCAAATTAGAATATAGTTTTTTTCAAAGGCCAAATTAGAATATAATTAAAAAGTGATATCCTAATTAAGTGAATAAAAAGAAACTGTATGACCAAAAAAAGGTTGACTTTGTAAATCAATTTGGGGCGGAGGTAGTATGTAATTCGAAAATTGATAAATTGTGTGGATTTTTGGAAGATGGTTAAACTTTAATTTTCTTTTAAACACTTGGAAAAAGTGACATTGTTTGGTATTGGTATGGCATGGTACCGCCCCGTTTGAAATGGAATGGTATGGAACGGGTTTAGGTCTAAGACCGACCAAATCCAAACCATTTCAATAGTCACGGTACGGGTACGGGGTCGGCAAAATAATGGACCGGACCGGACCGTGATCACCTCTAATTTTGGCAGATACTCTTTAATATAAATATATCCATCAGGGCCCTCATTTGGATAATCTATTCCATTATTTCACATGGTATTTAGAGCACAATAAAAATCCCTAAAAAAATTCAGCCGCCTCTCTCTTTTCCTTAGTTCGCCGCCGCCATGCAGCCTAAATCTTCGGCCGTTGTGCATACTTCTTTCTCAGCCAGGACGGAGGCTTCAGCGTCTACTTCAACGCCGGTTTCGACATCATCTCCGCCGGTTTCTCTCACCTCATCCACCGGCGCCATGTCCCATATCACGTCGCAACCGGTGACTAATTCGGCCTTTGCTTCGACCTCGGCATCTATGCCGTTTCTAGCGTCCGGAATAATAATAGATTGAGTTGTAAATTGTAATTTAAGTTGAAGATAAAGAAAAGTAAGATTGCAATTACAATTTTTATTATACTTTGATGGAGAAGGAGAAGAAAAGGAAAATAAAGAAAAAACCCCAAAGAAAAACAAAAATGATGCACTCCACAATTCTTGGGAAGAAAAAGGAAGGGAATACGTATAGTGGGATCAGTACACTGTTTTGCACGGTGTAACGATCTCACAGTATGATTTGTTGTCGTGGGGTAGACACGCGTACGATCTTGTTCGAGTCTGATTTCGTCCAACTTTGGACCAGTTAACTCTAATGTTCAAATTGAATTTTTAACTAGGACCGGATTAAACATTTTCAGTTTCAAGTCATGTACTTCTCACAATTTTGGGTTTGAATCTGCCCCTTTAGAAAGTTCAGAGTACGCATAGTCTGTTTTTAAATAAAGCACAAACAAGACTAGAACTATTATATCCGCCCATTAATTATAAACTTGGTTGAACTTGGTTGAACGGTACCTACATGAAATGAAAGAGATAGACACATACAAATTAGAAATAATTACATATGTATGACTAAAATCAAAGTTATTACAAAAATGTGACTAGTGACTAGAAATTTTAGAATAGTTGATGAAGTATATGGCCCATGGACCCCCGGCCCACATACTCCTACCTCCGCTTTACAGGCCCAATAGGCCCAGTGAGCACATGAGGCCTAGATACGGCAGCCCAAGATCAAAGAGGCCGCACACACATATGGGGTGTCTTCGACACCAGGTCCGAAGGCATGAGACTCTAGGAGACAGTCGCTCTTGGGCCAACTTAGATGCTGGAAAACTCTGGCTAAAATAGTAGCCTTCGGCTACAAGAGGCCTTCGGTACATACACCAGGGTGCCTTCGGCACACATACCTAGCCCTCGGCCATATGGTATTATGGCTGAAGGGTCTAGGATCAGCGAATATTCCCTCTGAAGACAAGCAACCACCGCATTCAATGTGGTGTCACATCCAAACACCGCATTTAATGCGGTGCCACATGCTATGTCGGTGCCACCCCGATTGAAGTGACCCTCCACCGTAGGATGATTGACACGTGTGCGCGTATAGCATTTATGGCTGTTATAAATAGCCGCCCATTTTCCTCTGTAATCTACAACGAGTTCATTTAATATATCTGACTCTCTCTCTCTTACTTATTGCTCCGAAATACCCCTCGTGATATCCCTCGGATAAGCTACCCCCGGGTACACTATCCATCAATAGTAATGAAATCATAGTAACTTATGTTCAGTTATTAAACATAAATTACCATGAAACTACATTGTAGTAACTATTAGTCACATTTATGTAAATAAGTTTTATTTTAGTATTACTTTTGAAAAAAACGCAAAAACTAATAAGTGGAATATCTCTCTCCTTTTTTAATAATCTTATATGTTTTTTATAAGTTAATCTTAATAATATCTAAATGTAGACATTGTGATTGACATTGTGGGGAAAACTTACCAAAAACATTTAAAACCTTGGAAAGGAGAGAGAATTGTCATAAATTTATACTTTTGTGTCTATCTCTCATGCCACAATGCACCGTACACATTGTATCATTGGAGATGCTACAATGTTTCTGATAAGTCTAAGAGATTGTAATCGTAGTTATGTTTCAGGATATAAAAACTAAAAGCCTAAGTTCTGGATCCATGCTCAACCATATACATCATGCAACAAGTTGTGTTTCTACTAATTTGAAATATATTACTAATCATACTCCATAATTTAGTATACACTTCAAGTTGAAAACTAAGCCGTTTTATGCAAGACCTGTAAATCTGTAATATATATATAGCGGTTATCATTTAACTTGGATTGGAACCTTGAAGCTTTGGCATTTGTGATTTAGGAGTTGAATTTGATGTTTTAGACTTGTTATAGATTAAGGAAATATAATTAGGGATAAGAGCTTAAAGGATTAATTATAGGGAAAGGACACCAGGCCATAAACACGGAAAATTGGGATAAGATAAACTGACTGACCAAATCAGACCAGACTTGGATAGTTATAAAAAAAAACCAGGCTAGACCAGATAGACCAGACCGGCAAATTACAGTCCAAGTAAAAACATTGGGGATTTTAAGAGAAGCTATAGCAACGAACAACAAACTAGTAAAGCAAAAAAGGTATTAGGCACTTTGGGTAAATGTATAGTTGAAACTATTATTCGTCCAGTTCGACATCTGTGAGAACCGATCATGTAATGGTTTGGAACAGAATTTTAAAGATCAATTTGAAACCTTGTTTTCCAATTCGATATTGTATCACTCCGGTTCGATACAATACCGGTTTAGTATTTTTGTTCATCCCTACAAAAATGATGGGAGAATATTAAATCACCTAGTAATAATAGACTGATAGTATAAAAACTTGTGTATAATAATTTTTTATTCTATGGAGTGGTCACCCGCGCCCCCTAAAAAGGCCATCATGTAAGACATCAGTTCAAGAACATGAAAGAAAATAGACTTTATTTATGAGATTAATTATCAAATACAGCTCCCATATCAATTGGAGCCAAGAATAATATTCTAAGAGGGGCAACGATCCCTTTAGCTTGTACCAAATTTAGAGCCAAATGAAATCTGTTGGCAAAGAATTACTTACTATGCTACACCTCAAAAACAACGTGGTGAACTCTCTCGCGTTCAGGAGGCATATCGTTGAGATTCAGAGTAACCAATCCCGAATCCGAATCATATTCGAAGCCAGTCACATTTCCTCCAACCCTGCAGCTTCTTGGTTTGGCAGATGAGTAAGCACCAAACCGGCCACACCCCTTCACATCCACGGTAACTACTCCCATTTCCGCACCGGACTTCACTTCATACTTCAGTTCCTCAATCGCTCCTCCCGCATTGAACATGTCAATGAGTCCCAGTGGGGCGAACCTCAACCCATGGGCCATCTCCTTAATAGGTGTGATGGTGAAAATCTCATGCTCCAGCACTTTCAAGGAGACAGGCAACGCCGCATCCTTTGGGAGAACGGTGAGTTTGCCTTCCTTGTGAGAATAGATCGCGCAGTCCCCGTTCCAGATGGAGTCATCTGAAGCTGCTTCGGATATGAGATGAACATCTCGGCCCCTAACATGGCCTGTTAAGGCCTCAGATTTGGTTTCAAGGAACACATTTTTCTTCTCAACAACATCCCAAGCTGCACCTTGGCAGTTGTATACTCCCAGAACTCCAGTGTGTTTGTTCATGTTCCAGATCTTCAATAAACTGAAAATTAAGGCCATCATAATTTTAGACTACATAAGTATTTTTTGTACATATTCATGTATCCAAGACTTTTCGTCTTATAATGCAAGTTTCATGTCAACTTTTCTATCACGTCCAAACTGTTCTGGTCTTGGTTTATTCTCCTCTCTTATGGTTTGATATTGTGCCTACTTTATTACTCCTTACTACAAAATTCTGGTCTAGGCCAGTGAAATATACTCGAGTCACTTTTCATCTAGTCAAAGACTGAAATAAGTTTGTTCTTGGTTGAACTAAAGAAGGATAGCAATCACGATTTGAAGTGGGATTTAAACTTGTTGAAAGCGCCACAACGACCTATTTGGGAGAAACATTTCTATTTTGAGACAATGTGTTAGATTAGTTAATCAATTGAATTCAGTCTTTTAATCATATGTGTGTTGGATTCAGCTGAGTGCAACTATTATCTACCTGACTCCATCACGAGTAGGATCGGAAAAGAGGCAGTCCTTTGTAGGGCGGCCAGGCAAACGAGCTCGCAGAACAGAACCATCAGGGAGGACAAGCTTCTTCAAGAGATCGAAATCATGTTTCCCTGGTGCGTCGCTGTTACACATGACAACATAAAAAGTAAATTCACAGTTGTGATCTACAAAACTTGCCATGATTGAAGCTTTTTGTTCTATCCATACCTCACATAGACTGGACCTCCACTGATAGCCCTGGCTGAGCCATGATACTCAGCGGCTGGGTGGAGAGAGTGGAACATATCCCAATCAGGCAGCATGAATTCGCCGAGGAAGACGCTGTTGTAAGAAACTGCAGCAATGTGGATGGTGTGTGAAACGGGATAACGGGGATAGAAGTCATCTGATGCCCTCACAATAGCTACCTGTTTCTCACTGTTTCATCCAAAATACCAGAAATCATCAGACATTGACTCCTTCCTTGAATACAAATCATACTCACACTAAGATTCGGTTCTATACGGGTTTTGTTATTCAGTCTGTCCTACACAGGCCAGTAAACAAATCATACTCAAACTCATAGAACTTGGGGTTTGATCCTAAAGTCTTACACTTGTCCAGTACACAGAGAATTAACATGTTCTTTTATGAATACAAAAAATATCTTAAAACAGCTTACTTACCAGTAAAGAGCATCAGTGCCATGACTCATGCAAGCAATGATACCATTATCTGGAAAATTCTTGGATATAGAAGAATCCAGAGCTTGATGATACTGGTTTGTGATCTCCACCCTGCCCCCAAACCCTCCCCCTAGAGTCTCCAGAATGCATTGGACATCCACCTTTACCCCATCAATCCCAGCAGATGCCAAATAGCTATGCATGTCATCGTAAAACTTGTGGGCACATTTCGGGTTAACCACACCCAAACCCTGAAGCGCAATTGCGTCGGTTTTCCAGGTGGGTTCATGCTCCATCACTCCTTTTGAAATGCTTGGGTACTTGAGTTCGGACCCGTATTCCTCCATTCCCTCCACTCCGGGTCGGACCCCGCCCCAATAGCCTGTTATCGCGTGCCATACGTACACGTACTTCAAGCCGTGCTTTTGCTTGGCGATGTTGACGATGCTCCGGATGCCGACGTTGTTCGGGTCGGACTGCTGGAATTTCGAGTTTTCCTTTATGCCGGTGAGCCTCATCAACGGCTTCTCCCCTGATTCCTCCTTTGATGGGTCTCCGGCGACCGACTGCCATCCGTCGTCGATGATGACGAACTTCGGCGGCGTCCTGCTTGAACAGAGGCTCTTCAGGCCGGCCTCCACGCCCTCCTGAGTAACCTCTTGATAAAACGCGTCCCACGTGCACCACCCGAAGTAATCCACGATTCCGGGTAGCTTCTTCTCGTGCCTCTGCCGGAAGCTCTTGAGGTGCAGTTTCACCGCCTTCACTGCGTCGGAGATGGCGGTAAACGGGTCGGATCCTACATGGACATAAACAGAGTGCGTGAACTCCGACCCGACCACATCTTGGTCTCCGCTTTCGAGACACAGCTCCAGCTCGTCGTTTGAATTCCCCTGAAGACAAGCCCGAAACTTCCCTTCAATCAGCGGAAGGAATACACAGTAAACGTCTTCGTCGGCGGCGGCCAGAGAAGGGCTGTTTTTCACCTCGACAAGAAGAAATTGGGTTTCGACAGGGACGTCGCGACCGTGCTTCCCCATCATCTGTGAAATCCACCACAGCTTAAACCTGAAAGCAGCCAAGAATTGTACGTCCAGGAGCCTCCCCAGCGGGATGACCTGGCGGCAGCTTTCGGAGTCGAAAACCGCTCCCAAAAACAACCCGTCCGTCGAACCAGAATCCGACCCGGCAGCGACTGTGACATTCTCGGGGATGTTTGTCAGTACAGTGCGGTCCTTAGCGACGAGTCTCCGGTCTGAAACACGGACCGCCGGTGTAATCGTCATGGCTAATCTAACGTGCCAAAGCAACAGAAATGCGGGGTCGTATAGTAGATTAGTAGTGATGGAAGAATGTGTTTAAAAATAGAGATCAGAAGAGGTCATTGATAGGAGAAGAGCGCAAAGAGGAGAGGCAATTTATAGGTGGGCGATTAAGATGAACTTCTGGACTCGCAGACTGACGGGGTTGGCGTTTATTGAATGAGAGGCGATTCAGATTATAATGCCGCGTCAGATCCTCCATGACTTCCCCAGAAGCGGCTACAACTTGATAAAATACACGAACAGTTGATTTTATTGTTTATGCATATACCCATATGGATCATTCTTGGTGTACACAACTTGTACACAAAATGTGTACATTGTCTGTGTACACAGACAATTTGACATGAAATCATGCCTCTTTTAAACGAATTGTCTGTGTACACAGACAACTAGGGGGGTTTTGTGTACAATTTGTGTACAAGTTATGTACACTAAGCATTTTCCTTCCATATCCATATACCGATTGTTTCTCAAAGAATCCAATAATTTTGATCCCATTCGCAAAATGGAACACTAAAGTGTGGATTCCCATTCGAAATAATTGATTATTAGTATCTTTATAGTGCCGTGCACGGGATAAAATGATTTTGTTGTTTAGTTTTAATAACGGAAAATTATGTATCTAGTCGATTATAACATTATGGAAAAATCACACTTTTAATCCCTGAAATAGTCACCATATTGAAATGTCAGATCCGTGTTCCCTAGTTTGTAAATGTCACCCATCAACTGTTCAAATTGTTATAAATGTGGTCCTTTGAGGGGTGAAATGTACAATGTGGGCGATGAGTACATTTCACCCTCAAAGGACGACATTTACAGCAATTTGAAAAATTGAGGGGTGATATTTACAATCTCATAAATACGAGTCTGATATTTCAATGTAGTGACTATTTCAGGGACTAAAAGTGTGATTTTCCCTACCATTATTTAAAATGATATTCTAAATTATTGATTATGTTTTATTTTCGAACTAATTATCTAAACATATTTCCAGTCTTTTTTGGAAAGAAAAAAAAAAGTGGAAATATGTTTAGATAACTAGTTCAAAAATAAAACATAATCAATAAATTAGAGTATCATATTTCCAATCTATATTTTCCCATAAAAAGAAAATATTTTTTAATAACTCTCAGTTGCATCCAATTGAAAATAATCTATTTTTATATAAACAAAAAGAAAATGTTCTATATTTATCCATTAAATTCCATATGTGGCTTACTCTTTTTTTGTTCAAAACTAACTACACATTTTTGTGAGTTTTTTCTCGGAATGATGGTAATTAAATAAATAATTCTCAAAATACTGTTGAGTTAAACATAATTTCCAAAATAGTGTTGGAGTTAACCGTGCTTAAGGAAACTCACCACTTGAAGTGGCAGCTCTTCTCTTATAGTACAAAAGCCGCCATTTGGAGTGTCTGCTTTTCTCTTACAGTACCACACCAACTTATTCAACCGGAAAAAAACACAAAAAACTACTCAGTACTGTACAATCAACTCAAAAACATCAACCAGCTGCTATTTATAGTCCTATAGAGCACTAAAAAAATAAAACATATTTGAGACACAAAACGAGTCAATGAACTACATTGTATCACAATACTAGGAATATCACATAAAGTTGATAATAAATCCAATGTTTCAAATATCACAAGTCATCACAAGTCATGTAGTTTCGAAAAATAATTCGATCGGCTAGTTCATGTTTAACACAATAACGTAGAGTACAAATATCACAAGTCAATGTGATCATCATCATAAAGCTCACGTGGTTATGCTTGTGCCTGAAGTCGGGGGCATCTGCGCTGATTACGAGGTTGAAGAACCAATCTATCATGTCGTAGTACCTGGGAAGACCCTGTTGTGGATGTAAATGTCATGGAATACTGATAGGCGGCCACATGTCTGTTAACTACAACAGTACAACGATGTTATGTACTACCTCCGTTCTCTTTTAGTTGCAACATTGGACACAAGTGTCACATCGATGTTATATCTTGTTGAGAGGTACTTGTTGTATTGTCGGGATACAAAGACGTCATCTGAGTCGACTCACATGAGATGATATGAAATAGTAGATATCCATTCACCCTGAAAAAGTGGTGCAATGATGTTTGATAAATAAAAATTGACAATAGGACATGCGTTAAGAGATTAATTTAAGCACCGAGGGAAATGGACCGTCACTTGATAATTAATAGGGATGGTAAGCCAACATGTGTGATTGGAGATCCCATGAAGCAGGTTCATATGTGTAATAACCAGTGTTCTATTTGTTTCGCTAGCTAGCCTTTTTAAATGTCCATTTCTACGGTGAGGCTAGACTGCATTCCTTTGTAAGGCTGAGTTAAAGCTCTTAATGATTGTCATTGCCCTTACAAGTGGTGTGTTAAGTGCAGGACACACTTGATGAGGTCACATATATGAGTGGGAGGTAGGGGACGCATTCATGAAGCATTGACAAAGCTTCTAGAGCACTCATGGAAACCAGACACGTGCACGGCCTAGAGGCGCACAATGATGTTAACGACGAGAAAGGTGGGGGTGAAAAATGATCCTCTAAGAGCATCTTCTATGCTGCAATGTCACGATGCACATGTGGCATGAGAGAGATAAACACAAAAGATTAAATTTATGACATTTCTCTCCATTTTTTCACGGTCTTATACGTTTTTGGTAAGTTTTTTCAACAATTTCAATCACAGTGTGTACATCTAGACATTGTGTTTAACATTGTAGAGAAAAACTTACCAAAAACATATAAGACCGTTCGAATAAGGAGATATATGTTCTATTGGTTGTTTTTTAATTGGTTATCTCTCATGCCACATATGCACCGTTCATGTTTTTGCATTGGAGATAGATGCTCTAAGACACTGACTTACCAAAGTAGATTATTAGTTCATAGAAACTATATATTTCACCAATAAACTCGGTATTTAAAGATTTAAGCGTCTAGGTGTGGTTCAAGTCTACGGACACTAGATGGAAAAACTTCACCCCATATATGAACTCATTTAGGAATTGCTATTTTTAAATACTTAAAAATATTCATTTGAAATATGTGGGGGATTGTTGAAAATTTTGAGGTATTTCAAATGAATATTTTTTAATTATTTTTCTGGGAAATTTTAAATTAACGTATTATAGATAGATTTGGAACAATAAAATTTTACCTAATTTTTACTATAGCAATAATTGACATAACATTGATATTGTTCTATTTTATTTAGCTATAATGATTTATTAATTCATATACACAACCGCCCAATCACCCACAATTGTAATCAGTTGGCTAGGCTAAGCTAGAGATCAAAAGAACCGGTTGTACAAATTATTTGATGCATCTTGTCATGAATTTCCACAGAATTTAATTTGATAGAATTTTTCTAATAAGCTTTGATTACACTTTGGGAAGAAAAATTGGAGCCCAAATTGATTGCTAGTTTAATTATTGGCAGACCGCGGCCAGCTGGGCCGAGCCGAGGACTTGCTGATAGCTCGTTGGGCGAATACTTGGAGGCTCCGGATCCGGTCATCGACCGAATTTGGAGTGGTCTAGTTCTTGGTCGAATCACCAAGTGCTTGATGCAATTTGGCCCTGTGAGCTGAGCAGGGACGGAGGTATGTGTATGGGTAGGGGGGCCATGGACCCTCCCAACTTTTTTATTTTTTAGTACTACTACTATTATAAATGAAATAATCAATAAAGATTGGGTCAAAACTACTCGATAGAAGCTTTTATGTGAGATGCTTTCGGGTAGAATTTTTTGATGAATTTTTGTGTATTTCAGCTTACATGCAATTGGAGAGTCAATTAAATAAATCATGGAAAAACACTGATTTTTTTTTATATTTTTTGGTACTGTGTTTTTCAATAATTTATTTAACTGATTTGTCAATTGAATTTTAAATTGAAATTAGGTGTAAATAATCTACACATCATGAAGAATATTGTCATAAAATTTCACCCAAAAAATCCATCCGGAAACACATCAAACACAGACATCCGGATGGTGGATCCCGTCATGTAATTCTGAAAGGATCATTCCTCATTAAGTATAATATGAAAAACTATGTTTTACTCCTCGAATAGATCTTATTTAGTTCTATTGAAAATTATTTGATTAAAGTTTGCCAAAATAGGAGTCAATAAGTCCTATTTTGAGATTAAAACAATGATAATCCTGTTTATAAACTTTTTTTGTCCTATTTATAGATTTTTTTCTTTAGTGTTTGTGTTTCTTCTTGGCCCCCCTTATGACTGCGTTCTGGTTCCGTCCCTGGAGCTGAGCTGAGGACTTGCTTACTAGGTCGTTGGGCGAATTTGGAGTGGTTCAGTCCTTGGTCGAATCACCAAGTGCCCGATGCAGTTCGGCCCTGTGGGCCAAGCTGAGGACTTGCTGACTAGGTCGTTGGGCGAATACGCGGGGGCTCCAGATCCGGCCGTCGATCTTGAACGAGGAGTGGTCCAGTCCTTGATCGAGTCACCAAGTGCCCGATGTAGTTCGGCCCACTGGGCCAAGCTGGGGACTAGGTCGTTGGACGAATGGTTTGGGGATTCCGAGGTCAAATACATCAGATATGATCTCCGTGCGGTGCAGTATCCTTTCGATAAAACAGTACAAGATCTAATGCACATAGAAGATAAACACAATATAAGGGTACTAACCAATATTCATATTTATAGGTTTTTTAGACTACGTATTATTTAAAGATAAATTGAACAAATGAGATTTTTATACCAAGTTAAGATTATTATTACGAATACATGAGAAAAAATATTACTCCGTATTAAATTAGAGTTCTTACCTTAATTAGTTTAATTACACTCTAGGAAAGAACTTTTGAAGCAAATTGATAAAGTTGCGGGTCTAAATCATTCTAATTATATTCATACTTTATCGATCAATTTAATAACAACCACATGAACTTCACGTCATCATCTTCTCATGTGGTAATGTTAGTGGGACGAGGTAGTATGTTTTAAGAGGGTTTTCCTAAAATATTACTCCGATTATTAAAAAAGTTAGTGAGATTTACCTAAATGGGAGTAATTAAATGGGAAATAGACCTTAATAAGACAAAAAGATAGTCAATGCACCTAAATAAGACCAGCGAGATTTTTAAACGTAAATAGGACTAAAAAATGTGTTGATGACAAATTTACCCTTTCATTAAAAATCTTCCCGGCTCGTTACTTCTCCTCTTAGTTACACAGGACAAAAGAAACACATCTAGGTGTTGCTCCACTTTTAAACCCCGTCCAGAATCTTCACCCAATCACCCCCAATCCTCTACAGCCACCGCCACAACACATCAGCGCCGCCGCCGCACTTGCCCCTGCTACCACCGCACCTCGTCTCCATCGCCGCCGCCGCCGTACTTGCCCCTGCTACCACCGCACTTCGTCTCCACTGTTGTACCTCGCCCTACTGCTGCCTACCTCTGCACCCTGCCGTTGCCGCCGTTAGGGCCGGCCCTGCCCATGTGTAGGAGGTGCAACCGCACAGGGCCCACGTTCAAGGGAGGGCCTCCAATTTAGCCCATGTGTTAGAGTACTCCATAGGAATTATGATAAGGCTTTTCTGCTGCTGAATTTTAAGAACTTGGGAAAAGGGAAATATGGAGAACTGGGGAAACGATGATAACATTGATAAGAATCATCTTAACCTCACACGTTTTCATGTTTCCTTATTTCTTAACGAATAGTTGAACACCATAGGCTTTGGGGAATGGGGATAAATTCTTAAACACATACACCTAGATCGAGCTTCTCTGTGCCTTCATCCTGTTTTCCGCTTCAATTTTTTACGGAGTATTTGTTATCTTTTGATTGTTTTCATTTTATTTTATTATTAATATTATGATTTATATTTGAGGGCCTCGTATCAGATTGTTATCAGATTTATTAACAGATAAGAATGCATAGACGACTGTTTCCGTCTATGATGACGGTGACCATCACAATGCCAAAAAAATGACATTGTAAAACAATATCAATACTACAAAAAATTACGTTTTTTATATAAAAGTAGATTATTGACAATAAATTAAATGTTAAGAAAAAACATCACAATGTCAATTTGACTATAATGATAATGTCAATGCTACAAAAAGAAAATCGCAATGTCAAATGACAACAATGACAATAACATAGACATTGTCATTTGTCAATGTCACAATGACAATGTCATTATGTCAATGTTAATAAAATGACAACATCAATGTCAATGTCAATGACTATCAATGTTATAAAAATGACGTTGATAAAAACAATGTTAAAGCTATAAAAATGACATTGCTATCCACGTATTATAAAATGTCATTCGATGACAATGTAATACATGCAATGTCATTATATGACAATGTAAAGATGTCATTGATTGAAAATTAACCGCTGTCATGTAACATTACGAAATTATATAATAACATAACATTATGACATTCTCAAAAAATAACATTGTTATCGTTAATGACATTGTGATATTGTGTAATAGCATTGTGACATTGCAATATTGACATTGTGATGTTATTTTTGTTGATGACATTGATATATTATAATTAACAGTGTCATTACTCTTATGACATTGTGAAACTTAATACTATCATCCGTTTCTTTTTAATCGCAACATGTTGAATTTTACACTATTCACAGGCACTACTTTGACTAAATTTTACGCTATTATTTTATAAAAATTATTTTTTAAAAAAGATATTGTTCAATTCATTTCATTACAAAGTTTCAAAATCCGATTTTTTAATTTTTTTTACTAATAGAGATTAAGATATAATTACGGACAAAGACGTGCGTTGGCAAATGTGAAATGTTGACCGTTACAACTAAAAAAGAACGGAGGAAGTATATATATATATATATATATATATATATATATATATATATATATATATATATATTGTGACATTAATATCAGTTTTATAATGTTATCAAGATGGGACATTATTTTCATCATGCCATAAAATTATATAATATGACAATTTAATATAATATCATTAATTAAAATTGATGCCGTGATATGACTATAACAACAACACTCCAGTGCCACAATAATTAAAATAAATTACAAAAATTAGCAAAATAAATTTATTAAAATATTGTAAACATTATTACTCCGTACGTACGAAGATGTAGGAAATAGTGTTGAAAGCCTATACTCTTTGATAGCAGAAAACCTCATAGGCACCAAATTCAAAATCAATTAGTTTAAAAACTAAATCAAAACAATTACAAATGAGAAAGGAGAGGCGAGATTGAATTTGTGAAAGCCTATACTCTTTGCAGGAAGCAACTCTTACTGATTTCACTAGACGAAGTACCCGTGCGATGCACGAGGTATCTAGAATAGAATAACATTTATTATAAGGATAAGGATATGTATCAGGGGCGGAGCTAGAGCACTGGACCAGTACAAAGAATATTTTTTGAAAAAAAAAATACACGAATTTTTTTACCTTGAAAATTAAGCCATTTTTAAAATTTGGGGTGGGCCATGATGGCCAAGATTGGCCCACCCCTAGCTCCGCCCATGATATGTATTGTGTATTTATGTCAAATAAAAAGAAAGTATATTTTATATTGTAGCTATAATTAAAAAATTGTAATTAAAAGAAAATTAAATTTGGTTTGCATGAAAATTGAAAGTAAAAAGTAACATAAACGATAAGGTGTAACATTAAGTTCTATGTGATAATAATGGAATTAAGGATGTTTTTAATAAAAAAGGGATTTTTTCCAATCTGGTCTTGTGTGGTTTGTTTAAGCCTGATATGAACTGGTCTGGTCTGGAAGATGTCTAGTCTGTGTGTATTTTATAAGTGTCGAAATCTGGTCTGTTCTTGTCTAGTAAATTAAATTTGAATTAAATAATTATGTAATTATGAATACATTTTGAAGTGATCATGACAAATTTCTTTAAATTACACAAAGTATAAACTTAAACAAACTATTTAAATTAATTCAAGTTATTTTCAAAACAAAAAATCAAGTTTAACATTGCTTGTTCATAACTTTGCACAAACGGTTATGGAAATATTGTTTGTTTCTATTTTCATACTTATTATTTAATTATGAGGGTCTATTAAATAAAATAGTTCTGGACTAAAAATTATTCAATTATGTATCTATATTTTGAAAAGCACTGAAATTACCTTCTGCTTTACTTAAAAACTTTAATCATCAAAAAATAGAGTTTATATAAAATCGAAATTATTTTATTATAGATTCGTATTTAGTAAATTAAATTTGAATCGAATAATTATTTAATTACAATATATTTACAATTAAACTTCAAAAATATGTTTGAATTACACAAAGTATAAAATTACACAAACTTTAATTGAGAAGGTAAATTTTGAAATATAATTGAAATGACCTTCTATCTAGTAAAATCATCTCAAGCGCTCGTACATCGTAACTTGCCACTACTGGATCACACGTACATGAACCCTTCATTCGATGCTTATGGGTTGAAAATCATCGAGATCGACATTTCTGACATGCCTAGTAGACGGATAACTATGTATTGGTCCTACTACGATAAATTTCTGGTACATGATTTTTAGAATGAACCGAACAATGCGATTATTTATATATATAATTTTGTTAAAGTAAATATGTAGCATGTCACTTAAATTTCATAATTGTAATGGAAACACGTGACATGTGTTAGTATAGCTCTATGCCTCTATAGGTGTTCTATCAAGCCATCTTATTAAATAGCTTACCATTTTGGGAAAACTGTCAAATAGGTCCTCGAACTTTCATAAAAAAGTCAATTAAGTCCTTCTATAGGAGACTCTGTCCGGTCGTCGCGATTTGGGGCGGTTCTCGGTGGAATTTTTTGATGAAATTTTTTTAGCATCTTATTCATCAAGTCCAGTTTACTCATACCAAATTTCAGCTAAAAATTTAATCGGGAGCGCATTCAAATTAATTTGAGAACGCAAAAATGCGCAGTTATCTTCAAGAATTAATTTGAATGTGTTCCGGTTGAATTTTTAGCTGAAATTTGGTATGCGTAAACTAGACTTGGTGAATAAGATGCTCAAAAAATTTCATCAAAAAATTCCACCGGGAACTGCCCCAAATCGCGACGGCTGGACAAAATCTCCTATAGAAGGACTTAATTGACCTTTTTATGAAAGTTCGAGAACCTATTTGACAGTTTTCCCTACCAGTTTTAATAATAACAACAAATCTTGCTAAAGTAATAAACTACGTGCAGATCGGCTATCAGCTAATAATGGTGTTATTTCATTGGCCATATACTACCATGTTTAATGGTTTAAATGTGTTATCATCTTCCCATTTTAATAATAAATTATTAAATAACTTACCATTTTAATAAGATGAACGTACTAATCTTACCATAGTTAGACATGGCTGCATAAATCGACTAACAGGCGGGGTTTTAACATTTGTACATTAGTTTCCCATTTTGCCCTTAATTTGGGCGGGATTTTTCCCTCCAATTGTTGCCCCAACTCTGTTATTTTATATTATATAAAGATAAAGATTAGGAATTACATCTTGCTGATATTGTATGTTCGAATTGGCCATTGTTTACTAATTTCATAGTCCTTCACCGCAATAAGCATTTCCGGCGACCTTCACCGCTTGCAGCGGCGGCCTCCATCTCCGGTGACCTTCAATCCTTCATCACTTGCAAATTGCAATTGCGGCCTCTGGTGAAGTTTCGAATCGACGAAGGAAGATCGAGCAATTAAAAAGCGGAGAAGATCATACAATGAGAAATCCAAATTGAAGCATAACAATCCTGTAAAGTCAAAATGAAACAAGGCTAAATCTAGAATGAACAGAAAATTCTACTCCCAGGAGATTACTAAAGATTTTGAGATGAATCACATATTCCCATACGGTGATGCCCTGGTCTTTATTTCACCATGAGAGGAATTGACGAAGTCCAAAGGTGAGATGGTTGGCTGGCGTTCTTGTCGAAGCTAAGTGGAGCGGACGGCAAACATGCGAAGAAAAAGAAGAGCAGCGACGAAGAGTGTCCCCTGCAACTAATTCAGGGGTACACTTGGTATTTAGTAAAAATCAAGTCCTATTTAGGTTTAAAAAAGTAGGTGGTCCTATACGGGTATATAGCTAAAGTTAGGGTCCTATTTGAGACCATTTCTCTAATTAAATTCTTAATTGCCAAAATAGGATTAAAGTATAAAAATTCACAAAATAGGAGTTATTATTTGTAACTGGACAAAAATACCCTGGAAGCTTGACAAATAGACTCCCACCGACAGAGAGCATGATTGGCCGCCTCCGGCCACCGCCGGACGCCGCAACCTCAAAACTAACCGCCGCTGCAAATTTGATCACCGCCGTCGTAGATCTGGGCACCGCCTCCCTAGATCGGACCAGATCTGGCCTCTGTCGACCACCGACCGTTGCCCATTTGGATCCAGTCGCTGTCGCCGCAGATCCGGCCGCTGCTACCACAGATCTGACAGACGCCACCACTGATGCCAAACTTTTGAACATAATGCCAACATGAATCGTGATTGCCATTTTAATGGTGTTTTGTAAGAAAAATATGAAATTTTTAAAGAGTAAAAATGCCAATTTGATGGCATTTTCAAAAAAATGGCAATTGTAACAACCTAATTGTATTTACTCGAGCCATTAGAATCCTCCCAGAAGCCAAGTAAACCACGACAGTTTGAATCCCCCCAGAGCAATTCAAAAAATCCAAATGAGGAAGAAGGAGAAGCGAAGATATAACACAGATACAGATCGACGAAAAAGAAGAGAGAGAAAGACCTCAGAGCTTTGCATCACCACAACACCGGATTTAGACGGGAAAATTTTGAAGAAACAGAGGAGTGAGAGGAAGACGAGACCTGGCAGTTGTTGCCGCTGCTCGTCGGCGCACGCTGCCGCTGTTCGCCGGACTCACTGCTGCTCGCGGTTGAAGCCCTCTCTCTGCTGCGCACAAAGATGCGGCAAGGTAGATGCGACGTGCGAATAAAAACACAGCGGGGTTGTGAGCTGCAGATGGTTGAAATGAATTTGAGGGGTAAACTTGGAAGAAGGGTCCTATTTAGGGAATAAAATTATACTACTCCCATTTTGGAATTTCATCAACAATTTAGTCCTATTTGGGAGCATTTGACAAAAATGCGACTTAATAATTTTTAGTGACTATAATTATGCTCAAAGTTTATATCATAGTCGCTCGGTCATAGTAGCTTGGAATGCAATTATAATCACTAAAAGTTACCAAGTCACATTTTTGTTCATCACTTTTAATATCAAGTGTGAAAAGATGTGAAAAATTAAGGCTAAAGGGTCAAATAGGTACATGAACTAACTTAAAGTGTTCAATTAGCCCCTTATATAGGAGGTTCTGCCCGGCCGTCGCCAATTGGGGCAGTTCCCGTGTAATACCCGAGATTAATTGAAAAGGATTAATAGTACTACTCATACCAACAGAGGTGCATCTCCTTTTAAGGGAGCTCATCACCCAAGAACTCCAAAGTTAAGCGTGCTTGCACAGGAGTAGTCTTGGGATGGGTGACCCCCTGGGAAGTTTCTCAGGGCGCGCATGAGTGAGGACAAAGTGCGCGTAAAAGGCTAGTGGCGGTTTGTGAGGACAGTACTATTGGTCCGGAGTAACTACCTCGGGTCCGGTGGGGCCGGGGTGTTACAAATGGTATCAGAGAAACTCTGCGACAGTGTGCTGATCCGTTGAATATTGGGCAGACACTTAGCAGGGGAAAAGATTCTGTGGTTTGATTGAGATTGGTTTAAGGGCGCAACGAGGACGTTGCGTTCCTAAGTGGGGGTGATTGTAATACCCGAGATTAATTGAAAAGGATTAATAGTACTACTCATACCAACAGAGGTGCATCTCCTTTTAAGGGAGCTCATCACCCAAGAACTCCAAAGTTAAGCGTGCTTGCACAGGAGTAGTCTTGGGATGGGTGACCCCCTGGGAAGTTTCTCAGGGCGCGCATGAGTGAGGACAAAGTGCGCGTAAAAGGCTAGTGGCGGTTTGTGAGGACAGTACTATTGGTCCGGAGTAACTACCTCGGGTCCCACGGGGCCGGGGTGTTACATCCCGGTTCAATTTTTTGATGAAAGTTTTTTAGCATCTTCTTCATTAAGTCTAGTTTACCCATATCAAATTTCAGCTAAAAATAAAATCGGGAAGGCGGTCAAATGATTTTCCGAAATGTACTCCGCTGTTTAACTGCGCATTTATCTTCAAAAACTCATTTGACTGCCTTCCCGGTTAAATTTTTAGCTGAAATTTGGTATGAGTAAACTAGACTTAATGAAGAAGATGCTCAAAAAATTTCATCAATAAATTCCACCGGGAACCGCCCCAATTGACGACGACCGGGCAGAACATCCTATATAAGGGACTAATTGAACACTTCAAGTTAGTTCATGTACCTATTTGACCCTTTAGCCAAAAATTAATTTAAACATAATTTTTTTAAAAAAAATGGATCTTAAATTTGAGCTAAATTCAAAGAAAGCGGCCAAAAAAATAAGTTGAAAAAGAGCCCCGCAGGGCCGCAGGATTCAAACATTTGGCAAGCCTTTGATTGTGTGGGAGTCCAACCCCCAGACTTACGCACACTAATTAAAAATTTAAAATAGGGCTTTTAAAGTTTTAGATAACAAATTTAGAACAACGATGATATGTCTCCGTTAAAAAAACAATGATACTCCGTATGTCTGTACAAATAAACATTTTGTTTAGGAATAATGGTCAAGAATAATCCCAACTATTAGTGATCTCCATGAAATAATCCCAAATATCAATTATTTCAGAATAATCTCAACTATTGAAAAATCTTCTCAACATACTCTACTTACTCATAAATATTATGAGTTATTTATGGATAATTATAAGTCATTGGATTATTTTGAGAAGATTTTTCAATAATTGGGATTATTTTGAGATAATTGATACTTAAGATTATTTCAATCAAATCAGTAATAGTTGAGATTATTCTTGTACATTTTTTCTTTTGTTTATACAATGAAATGTTTATATATATAAGGAAAAAGATTACCTCAGGTAGTTCTGACGGGAAACCCCGTCCGAACTTGCCTATCAGAGGACCTTTGCGGTGGAATTTTTTGATGAAATGTTTTAGGCATGTTCTTCATCAAGTTTAGTTTATCCACAAAAAAAATCACTTAAAAATTCAATCAGAAAGACAGTCAAATAATATCTGGAAGATAATTGTGTCTTTATATGTGTAATTTGGCGCTGTTATCTTCTAAAATTTATTTGACTGCTTTCTCGACAGAGTTTTTAGCTGAAATGTTTTGTTGGTAAACTAGACTTGGCGTAGAAATGTTCAAAAAAAATCATCAAAAATTCCACCGAAGAAGGTGAACAAGTTTTTTTCACCAACATGGCAACGTTCTGCTATCCGTTCACTTCGCTTTCTACAACCCATCACTCAGCTCACCAACCATTCACGGGATCTGTTTGGACTGGGATTGATGTAATCTTCCTGACATAAACTTTATTGTTTGCATATTGAGAGTGGCAAACAAAGCTGAATAATGTATGATTAGGACAAGTTCCCTTAATCGACCGTATAACTTGTCTCTCGTTCATACAAATTGTACACAAATTTAGTACACATGTTTTACGCAACCCTCTTAGAGCCCGTTTGGTAGCACCAAAATCGGCTGTTTTGGCTGATTCTGCTGAAATTTATGATATTCTGGCTGGAGTGGCTGTTTTGGCTGATTCTGCTGATTTAAGAAAAAAATATTTTAAAAATATATTTTATTAATAAATTAAAGAAAAAATTATATGTAAAAATAGCTAAAATGGTCCTCTACAGTAACTTCAGCCAATACAGCCAGAAAAGTAACTACAACCTTACTTTTTCGGCTTATTACACAATTCAGCGCGCGAAAGTAAAAGTTACGTGTTTGGTGAAAAAGCTGGCTGATAAGCCTGATAAGCCGAAAACAGAGTTCTCCAAACGGGCTCTTAGTCTCCTAGTCGTCCGTGTATTTAGACGGATCATTTAAAAAAAGATAGAATTTTATGTCAAATTGCATGTGTACACAGTATACATATAATATGTGTACAACATGAATTATTCAAATTTTATGATTCCAAAGATATTTTTGTGTTTAAGATTTTGTCAAATTTGATTGGCATGGAAAATAATAAAATAAGAATTGTGTGCTTAGGTTTGTGCAAAAGAAAGAGAAATAACATGACTCACAAAATATTTGATTAAAAAAGAAAGGCACAAAATTTTTCAGAACAACCCAAAAAGAAAAGATAGCAAAGTTTTAAGGAACGCAAGAGGTATAACTTATCTAAATTATAATATTGAAACTAAATAATTTATATACAAATAACTAATGAAATATCAATTTGGATAAGACGAATAATATTTTCTATTCTAATTTGGAATTTTATAGGGTGGGCCTTGAGTAGGGATGACAATGGGACAGTTCAGGCAGGGTATACCGTTACCCGTGTTGGGTGTGTTTCGGAAAATAAAGAAAATTAATTAAAATAAATTAATTAAATAAAATGACAAGAGAAAAACAAGAAAGGAGATGAAGCAGAATTAGTCAAAGCTCGTGCTACACACGATTTCCTTAAAACGTATTTGTTGTCTCCCACGGTGCTAGGAGCGTTGCAACAATCGTTTCCCAGGATACGATGACTACGAACTAATGTTTGAGCACACAAACAAAAGTTCCAGCGAACGAGAACAAGTCTGAACACTCAGGAATTTTTCAGAGAGACTGGAGGTGTTTTAAGCTGAAGAAATACGTGAGCTCGTGTATGAACGTGTAAAAACGTGTGTTGTTGCAAACCACCTGCCAGCCTTTATATAGGAGGATTTGTTGTGTGCAAATGGTGAATTAATGGACCTGAACGTTGGACATCAATGACCAGTCCGTTGGGCATTTAATCGTCCATGAACTATCCATTTAACGCTGCATTAAAAGATAAGAACGTTGGGCTTTTATTGCTGTAACGGTTCAGAACGCGACCAGAAAACCTCCCAACAGAACACCTACGAGGGCTTCTGTCTGGAGCCACCAGAACACCATACCGAGCCCTTCTGTTCAGAGCGTTTCTGCCGCTAGGCAATTCTGTCAACTGGGAAAAATTTACGTTTCGGGAAGAAAACAAAAATTATCCGTATCTCTTGAGAGATGGATTTTTGGACGACATTCGTGTCCACAGGTCGCCTGCGCACGCAAGTCGCGATTTTTCTTCTCCGAATTCGGGATTTGATTTGCACCCCCCCCCCCTGCGCGCGTGGAGAGAGCCTTTACCCTTAGGAATCTTAAGGGGGGAGTCCCTTTATAAAGGGTTGCAAATCCCTTGGGTTTTCCGGTGTGGGAAATTAACACACTAGAAACTCATCCTTTTTCCCTTCTAACGGGTAAACTTCGAAAAACAATTTCTCATTCACCCGTTATCCGTTTTGAGCGTACCATATATCGAATTGTAGCCCTAAGCAAGGACAATCCGAAACCACTTTGACCCGACCCAAATCGGAAGTAGACCCCACTCAAAAAATTGCCCCAAAATAGCCATTTAATGCAATTTTTCACACATTTTTCCAACAACCCGTACCCGCCCCGTTATTTAGTTTATAATCTTCGTACCCGCCCCATTCCCCGCCGGATAATTTTTTACCCGAATTGTACCCGGTTAGAACGGGAAACGGTTTTCCCCGCGGGTAACCACCTTATTTAAAAATAATTTTGTTTTTCTAATATAATATCACTAACAAAAAAATACTCTGTAATAATTATCTATTGACCACTATTTTTT